GGACAGTTTCAAGCTACCAACGTGATGTCATTGAACAGAGTTGGGAAGAGATGTACGGGAGCACCATTACCATTATATGCAAATTATGGCAGACAGGATATTAATGTAAATAACCCCAAGGACATAGATAAGAGTAAAATGGAATAATAATAATAATGGGTATGTTTAACAACTGGCTCACAAGAATCCCTGAACGTTTAATAATCAGCTCTCACAAGCCTGTATGAGCCCACAGTAACACACAACTTCTACAAGATTAGAACAGTTCCCACTGCTAAGCAGAATGAATTCAAGGAGGTGGACACAGCCAGGCTTCCCCACCTCACAGCTTGGTGAGGTTACAAATCCAGGGCCCCAAGGAGCCAAAGAGCCCCACACAGCAGAACTTGGCTGGCATGGAGGGGAAGAGGCCTTCTAGTCTCCCAACCACCCCACTTCCAACATGTAAAACCCCAGAGGGATTCCCTCTGCATTTCCCCAAGCTCTGAGCTCTGGTTCCTTAAGCCCTTACAACTTTGAAGACCGGGACTCTGAAGCAAAACCCAGAAAGCTCAGGGTTCTTTGACATGCCCATAGCAGCCTGGCAGAGGAGGAGCGTTTGATTCAGCCCTGAGACTGAATTTCTCTGATGCCTATTCTGCCCCTCTCCAGCAAAGTGACCTTAAACAAGCCACTACACCTCAGTTCCCAGTTAACGTGAAAAATGAAGGGCTTAGACTAGGCGATCTGTCTTATCTAGGTTTCTTCCAGCTCGAAGACCCCCATGTCGGCAGCTATTACTGGAGGCTTCAGAAAAGGTGACCCATCGTGTCAAAACCCATTCAGAAAAACTCACCAGGCCACAGGGTGATATGACTTCCCAGGCTGGAACTCCCTATCAGCAATGGGAATACAGGGGAACATTTCTAAGACAGACCACGGAAAGATCTGGGCTGTGGTCCTTCAAGGACTTGTCAGAGTACAGCTGCCTTCGAAGGTGGGAAATGGATTTGTCTGGCTTTCTGGTCAAAGCCAAGTCTTTACGCCCTTGTATGTATTCACAGCCTTCCTCTACCGTATCAGGTTCTTTATAAACTTGTTTCCCCGAGCGATTCCTTGCCATTGGGAGTCTGCCCATCTTTTGACAAACGGCCATCTTGGTGGAACATTGCTTTAAAACTTTAAGGTTTCGTAGGTCTCAAAAAATAGGTGAAGTCGTGGTTGATAAGAGAGAGGAGCAGTGCAATATTGCCAGTGAGAAACTGGTGAATTGTAACCAATGCTCCCAAGGCGTTTGTACACCCGTGCGCGTGTGTACGTCATCACCGGGAATAAACCCTGCAGCTGTGTATCTTGATACAGCAGGGTTGCCATGATTTATGAGTCTAGCCACAAGCAAGTTCACAACCACCAATCCAAGGGGGGGAGGCAGAGGTAGGCTGGCAGAAGTGCTTTATGGGTTTCATGTTTAATGCTTTGAACATGATGTCTTGTTCTCACTTCTAGAAAGCTCTTAGCAGGTATAAGCCGAAAATACATTGCTGTCCATCGCTGACCAAACTCATGTGGGGGTGAAGGTGGGGGGTGTGTGGGTGCACGTTGTGGTTTTTTATATGGTTGTTGTTTCATATCTGAGCTGTAGGAGAGTATTGTACAATAAAAAGCATGAGCTATTGATACTATTTAACTAGGGTGAGAGAAGACACAGAGAAGCCTGCCGCCTCCCTCCCTGCCTCTCTCCCTCCTCTCTTCCATCCCTCTTTTGACAAGAGTTTCCATCTAACATTGTATGTGCACTCCCTAGGCTGATTCCCCATCAGCCCAGCTATAGTCCATTCTTTTTTTCTTTTTTTTAATATTTTTATTTATTCTAGGAGAGAGAGAGAGACAGCGTGAGCAGGGGAGGATCAGAGAGAGAGGGAGATACAGACTCTGAAATAGGCTCCAGGCTCTGAGCTTGCAGTCAGCACAGAGCCCGACTTGGGGCTCTAACCCACTAACCTCGAGATCATGACCTAAGCGAAAGTCGGACTCTTAACCGACTAAGCCACCCAGGCGCCCCAGCCATAGTCCGTTCTATATGTGAGACACAAACCAGCAGCTTTCAGAGCTATGAACGTGCATTGCATCCCGAAGAAACTTGGAGTTAGGTCAGATAGACCGAATATATAGATAAAACCATATTACAGAGTTTTATATAATGATCATAGCTCTGAGTTTTGAGCCACTTCCTGTATGAGAGGCACTCCTGAAGTCAGCGCCATCTTGTCCACTAGTGGGTGGTTTTCTCCCATCATGAACATTCAGACTCTCAAGAGGACCAGAAGCCAGAGTGGCCCTGGGTCTCTTCAGAAGAACAGTGGGTAGAGCCACAGATTGCCAACAAGGCAGCATCAGGCCCTCTGTGGAGTCCTCACTGGGACACAGCGGTCCCACACTTGACGCAGAGAGTCAAGATGCCCCATGGGCAAGGGTGGGAGCTGCCCTGGCAGAAGAGGAGTCAAAAGTCCTGGAACCTTCCGTGGGCATAACTCCTCAGCTCCCCACCGGAGATGCCTAGGTACCAGATCACCGCAGGCAGGAAGCCTGAGCTGTGGCTTCCTATCAGGAACATATAAATGGTTTCTCACTCCTCCCAGTCTAGAAGCGATTTATCAGTCAGGGGTCAGTGTGATCACAGGGAGTGTCGACGATTAGCATAGCTGACATACCATCTTAGCAGGTTACCTGCGCTAACCAGAGATCAAATTCTCCTGCAAAAAAGGAAGAGATGTATCTTAACCCTTTGCCTGTGGTCGCTAGTCCCTTTTCAGAGACTAAGACTGAGCTTTAGGGAGGTTTCTCAAACTTGCCTCAAGTCACATAGAAAGTAACACATGCAGCCTGGCTCCGAGTCCCATGCTCTTAACTAAAGGTCCAAGATGTCCATTTTACCTTCCACTCCATAGACTATCTGCTTTCTTTTTATCATTGAGAACAGTCAGTCTTTCTGGAGGAAGCAGTATGCCTATCCTGGGGTTTTGCCTGCTCCCCGCACACTGTGTACCCCACTCGAGACGCTTGGTGCTGTGCCAGTGAGTAATTCCACCTAGAATAATAGAAGAAAGCACTCATTCTTTTTCCTTATGTTGAGTAGCTCCCATGTTTTGAGAGTCTATATTTTGAGTAGAGGTTGTTGAGGGCGGGGCAGGAGGGGGAGGAAGAAAAAGCAGTTTTAAGAACAAAAGAGCCAACTTTGGCATCTGAAAGTGAGTGAGTACCTGGCTACGAGGCGCAAACAGTGCTGTTTTGCATTGTCCTTTCTTTCTTTTTAAACATTTTGCCCTCCAGCACAAAACCAAAGAGCTCAAGGCTAAGCATGTCGCTTTATTACCATTCAGATCTTCATAAAGCTCTGGCTTATTATATATCTTTATTGTATTGCAGAAGCCGTTCAAGAAATGAGCCATCCATGTGCCAAGTACAAAAGTAGACATTGTGACACTGTAACAATCCGTAATATTGTTTCATTGAGTGCTTAAAGCTTTTGCACCAGGCACTGGGATGATCTGTTGACTTCCAAAACTTCCTAGTGTGATGAAGGCAAATACTAAGAAATTTTGTAGACAGAATGTGGAATGTGTTGGGTAATTAATACTGTGTTTAAGTGCATTGGAATTAATTAATGATGAATTGTTTTAAAATGGAATGGAACGATGGGGGTGGAGTGGGATGCAGGGAGAACTTGAGAGGCATGGTTAGGTCCTCTTGGCCAAGACAGTGGACCAAGGTGCCTATTTTACTGTCTAAAAGCTTTCACGTGTTCCATGCACTAGGCTTTCTTCCACTGTTTTTAAAAATGCACAGAGAGGGGCACTTGTGGGGATGAGCAGTGAGTGTTATATGGAAACCAACTTGACTATAAACTATTTGTAAAAAAAAAAAAAAAAAAAATGCACTTGACAAAGCCCGCCTGCCGGTAGTACCAAAAAAAAGTTTGCTGGCACCTGGCAGGCTCAGTCGGTAGAGCATGCAGCTCTCAATCTCAAGGTTGTGAGTTCAAGCCCCCCATCGGGCATGGAGCCTGCTTAAAAAAAAAATGTATAATCCAAAAAAGAGTTTGCTCTTTAAGCGACAGATACCATTTTGTAGATTGTTTTGAATCTTGTATTACATGAATGTATGAAATGTTATACAGTGAGAAAAGAACGGAATTTGAATATTACTAACATAAGAGAAGCGTTGAGGGGACGACTTTGACATTTCCAAAGTGAAATGATCAAGAAAAGTCGCCTTCCTCTTTATGAGTAATGAAGTCACAATATAAACAGACCTTCAGCTGTGATCTTCTTCCTTGGACTGCTCTCTTCCCTTCTTCTTGAACCTGCTTGGGCAAATTTACCCACTCAGTAAGTGTTTACTGAGATTGACTTGGCGGTGTGCTAGCAGTGATTTCTGGGGACTGGTGTCCTTTCCGTTCAGCTAACAGGTTAGGGAGATAAGACCTTCAGTCAGCCAAGAAAATTTTAAAAACCCAAATAACAATATGAGCATCTGGAGTAAGACAAAAAAAAGAATCCGTTTTCAGGAGGCCATAGATGTTAGGTGGCAGGGAAGTGCTATGAACAATAAATACTACCAGTCTAAGGTGAAGGATGCCCTTTCCACCTGGGAATGTTGGGAAACTTTGAGAATAGGTGGCTTTCTATGAGTTGAAAGAAAAGTGAGGACCTTCCAGGAGAGAGGAAGTCTTGTCGCCGAAGTCACTGCAGTGAGTACAGACATAGTCTGTGTGTACACATTTCCCACAAGGAGGCTTTGCCTCAGGAAGAAATGGGCCTCCCTGTGAGGAACCCGAAGCCGCTGAGCTAGAAGATCGTTTCGTCATGTAGGAGGGGGGCATCTGTTGGGGGTCTTTGAGATTGAGACCTGGGAACAAGCCCCTTTCCCAGGGTGGGGTATCCGTCCACCTCCGGGTAACTGTCCTCATTCTTCATGCTTCGTAGAGGGTCCTGGTTACTCACCTTCCACTGTTGCTTCAGATTCATGACGGATGCTGCCCGCCGAGAGCAGGAGTCCCTGAAGAAGAAGATTCAGCCGAAGCTCTCGCTGACCTTGTCCAGCTCGGTGTCTCGAGGGAGCGTGTCCACTCCACCGCGCCACAGCAGTGGAAGCCTTACTCCCCCTGTGACCCCGCCCATCACCCCTTCCTCTTCGTTCCGCAGCAGCACCCCAACGGGTGAGTGGCTTGGCCCTGCCATCGCGGGGGTGGAGGGGGAGTTACTGAAGAAGAGTGTGTGCGTGAGTGTGATGTATGATATGCTGGGGGCAGGAAGGGGCGGGCGACAGATGGCGATCAGACCCACCCCCTCTTTGACCCTTTCGTAGTCTCTGTAGAGTTTGTTGATGTAGTCATCTGTTTATCGCTGAAGAAATATTTATAAATTATTTATAGTATGTATGTGATAATGGTTTTATAGAGATTTTTTTCAAGCCTTTACCGTGTGTGATGTATGAGGTGATACAGTGTCTTGGATTTGCTTCCGTCAGGTGGAGGAGTAGATGAGACAAGATGGCTGTACGGTGATTACCGTTGGTGCTGGGTCACGAGTACACAGGGGTTCGTTATGCCATTCTCCCTATTTTGGCTTCTTTTAAACATTTTCCATAAAAGATGTTAAAAAAAATTCAGAGTGCCTCCTATGAGCTAGGCACTGAGCCACGGCAGTGAGCCAAAGGAGACCTCATCCCGGTCCTGAAGGCAGTTGGGCCCTAGTGGAAAATGTCGGCCTCGTAGGGGGGCAGCAAGCACACTCTTGTCTCTCCTCCCAGATGTAGAAGCAACTGAAAAACAGAGCAGGAGCCAGAGGAGAGATCAAAATCCACTTTGTTAGTGGATAAAGGCTAAACTGCAGGATGGAATTTGGATCCATAACCATTGGACTCCTGAGTGCGTCTCCCCTGACTCTAACTTCTTTCCCAGACTGCCCTTCTGCCTGGAGGCGGGGCAGACCAGAGCGTGTCCTGGGCCCTGAGATGCACGTGCGTTGCCCCTTCTCCCCAGTTCAGAGACCCATCTAGTCATCGCTCCTCTGTGGGCAGGAATGAGTAAAGACGGTCAAAAGAGGCTGGAACGATCCCTCTTCTTTGCCCGCTGAGAAGCAGGGGCTATATCTCCCCACTCCTTCTCCACAGTAGGAGCTTAGGCAGGCGTTAAATAGAACATTGTAACCATGACAAGTGCTGTATAGAACTCAGTGATGTGAGTGCACCCAGACAGAAATTGAGAAAACGCTTCCCCTGAAAGATAAGTAGGACTCAAGTGGAACTTCCAGAGCCTTTTACAGAAGCTCTGTGAGGCAGAGCCTGGCAGATCTCAGGTACTGAAATAGGCCACCTGATCAGTGGGGGATGAGGCCAGTGCTTTGGGTAGGAGCCAGGGCACCCATGGGTCGATCCTAAGAGCAAAGAGAAGCCACCTAGAGTCGCACCATCATTCGCTGTAGCACCACGCCCTTGATGTGGGTAAAAATGTTTATTTTCCCTTACAGTGTGTGGATTTCTCTTTCAGCTATCTCCCAGCAAGGGAGGCGACTCTACTGATATTTCTCAGTGTGTTTCCGAATATTGACTCTCACAAAATAGTAGCTGGAGGAAAGGGATTTCCTAAGAAGATGGGAGAAGTTGATGGGTTAAACCAAAGTAGACCGATTCCTTTAATGCGGGGCTTTAATATATACTGTTATTCTCCCAGGGAAAGATTTATTAAGTTTCCCAAACTTAGTCGCCTCCGATTACGGGAGCTCCTTTCTAAGGGCAGTTTTGGGGGTCTCATGGCTACCACACACCCTGTGCCCCATCCGGATTAGGCATTTCAAAGCCAGGACAGGCATTTGAGGCAGGCCCAGCAGAGCTCCTATCTGTACTTGTCCCTTTACAGATCACTAATAATACCTGGTATATTGGTAAACGTGTGTTAAGTATAGAGCATATCTGTATACCCGGCATCCAATAAATGTTCATCTCTGTGGCCTGGAGTTTTCAGCTTGGTGCTTCAGGAACAGAATCAGGGTCACTCTTCTGTAGAGAATGAATTGGCTGATCTTTGTTGGGCATTTGCCCATTTCTTTAGATGAGCCACCATATTTCCATTCTTTAGATAAGCCACCATATTTTATTCTGTGAAGAATTACTTTCTAGGATCTTTGTGTAGCTCTAAGAAATGCACCAGAGCATTGTATAATTCTGCGATCCTTTTTTTGGGTGTTTCTATGAATATTTATTCATTTATAATATGAATTATAGGGGCAGTTTTATACCGGAGAGTGTTTTATACCTGACTTCACGCAGGCTGACGCGTGGCCAACAGCAGATAACCACGACTGCCCCAATTAGTAACCGGTGCCGTAGGACCCCGTGAAAATAGGCAGTTTAAAAGTGAGAGTTTATTATTGTTCATATAAGAATGTTTGGAAGAAGTGGAATCATTTCCTTTCTTTCAGACATAAAGAAATCTTTCTGACAGCTTGCCTATTTGAACAATTTCCCACTGAGAGAATTAATTTATGTTGTGGTAAAGATGTGTCATATTCAGCCTGTCACGATCATGGGTAACTTATTTGCTGCTTGAAGAACATTCCATGTAAACATCAAAAATTAGGGGAAACGGTTGCTTAAACCCCACCCTGTACAGTTTTGATTGTGAACATTTTTCAACATTTGAAATGTTATTTTACCTGTAGTTAGAGAGATCAGCTTTTTTGCCTGACTAATGTGGTTTCGCTCGCTTTCATGGCCAAGTTATAAATAATAGTCCAAGTTCCATCTACATTCAAGGTATATTCCAGGTCCAGAAGGAATAGTCCCCTTGTAGAAAATCTCATTGATAAAATATTCTTTAAAATATGCCATCTTGACTGAATTAGAGCTCAGCTTCATTCTAGAGTTTCAAGTATTTCTCCGGTGCTCTTGGGGACCTACTATTTATTTTGCAATTTCTAAATCCTAGAAAAATCTTCTTACCTTATCTTTTTCATTTTCTCTCTTTATCTGTTTTATTTTCTTTAAACATAGATGTGTATGTAAAAAAGAAAGTATTCACATAAGGAAAGGTTAGAATGGTTTAAATCATGGGTGTAGCAAACCTTTTCTGTAAAGGACCAAATAGTAAATATTTCTTGCTGTGTAGGCCACAAGGCCTCTATTTCGGTTACTCGGTTTTGCCGTTGTAGCATGAAGGGCAGCTCTAGAAAACTCCATAAATGAACGGGCATGGTGGGTTCCTTTGAAACTGAAAGTTTCTATAAAGCTTTCTTTATAAAAACAAAAAAAAAACAAATTTGGGGCACCTGGTGGCTCAGTCGGTTGAGTGTCTCACTTCGGCTCAGGTCATGATCTTGTAGTTCGTGTGTTTGAGCCCTGCATCAGGCTCTGTGCTGACAGCTCAGAGCCTGGAGCCTGCTTCAGATTCTGTCTTCCTCTTTCTCTGCCCCTGCCCCCTCATGCTCTGTCTGTGTCTCTCCCAAATATAAATAAACATTTAAAAATTAAAAAAAAAAAAAAAAAAAAAATTACAGATTTGGCCCACGGATCACAGTTTGCCAGCCCCTGGTTTAAACCATAAAGATATATCATTTAAAGATTAACTTAATTAAATTCCCTGCAAATAAAGTATCAAAAGAATCCGTACCCCTCTCCTTAGAAGTAATAACATCTAGAGTATGATTACAAAGGAGGAAAGACAACTAACATTTATAGAGTGTTTACTGTCTTATATGCTTATTATATACTTTATGTATGAGGTTGTTTTGGGGTTTTTTTTTTACTGTTTATTTTTGAGAGAAAGCACGAGTGGGGGAGGGGCAGAGAGAGAGGGAGACAGAATCCAAAGCAGGCTCCAGGCTCCAAGCTGTCAGCATACACGGGGCTCGAACCCATGAACTGTGAAATCATGACCTGAGCCGGAGTCAGCTGTGTAACCGACTGAGCCACCCAGGCGCCCCTGTGAATGAGGTGTTTGATCCCAACACCACCTCTACTGAGACAACATCATCTTTCCCATATACAGATTAAAGAAATAGAGACATGGTAGATAAGCTTAACTTCATAAAACCCCATGTCTATCTGTTCAAAAAACATCTGGTCTTTCCAACGTACTAGTACTTTCCCTATTAAGACCTCTTAGAAAACTCTTACTAGACCTTCAGCCATCTAGCTGCTCCAGTTACCAACTTGACAACTCCAAACCCAAAATACAACAGAATGTTAAGATAACTGTAATTATGGCTCCCCTTCATCCACAGGACTCCCGCTGTACCATTCAAGCAGCATGTCAGAACTGGAGAACTGACCAGTGAAGTTTAGCCAGTGTTTTCTTGAAGGATGAGCTGGAGCTGATTCCAGAGAGCCAACTGTCCAATGTTCAGGTGTGCAAACCAGTTGTTAGAAGGACGATCTTGAAACTGGCCATGTTGGGAGTATTTACACCCATCAAATGGCAAATGCTACCCATCAGGACCCGCCCACCCGACCCACCATGTTTTTACCTGTTACACCAATGGTTTATCCTCTCAGTAGTCATCAGGTTACTCTTACTTTGTGTTCAAGGGACTATGGGCCTAACTGGGTCTGTGAATCAACCTAAAGCAAACGTCAGTCACTGATAAATAATGGCCAGTTTCAAACAATGGACGGCTGGGCAGTCATTCAGAGCAATGTAGGGGACTATAGGACGAGACAAGGTTTTCACATTATTGGATTACAAAGCCGTATGTGGATGGTCCCAATTTTTTTTTAATTCCAAAAAACTTTCTATGGTTACCTTAATAGGACAGGAAAATGGGTGTTATTTTCTTCTTTCTCCTTTTTTCCTATTTACTAAGATGAGTCTGTTTTACTTTTCTAACTAAATCATCTGTTCAGTGCATACAACCGGATGATCTGGACAGAATTACTGACGGCCCCTGCCCCCTCAAAAAGAGTTGAATGAATTTTCTTTCCTTCAAATTAATGTAATTATCTTTTCGGGGAGGAGAAATGAGGCCATCCTGTAGGAAAGGCCTGGGTTAGGTTTTGCAGATTGTATTGGTTATCGGTGCCTATGGATCAGCTAAGAAAGTAATTTCTCCCCTCCTCAGCACCTGCATATTTGGCCACTGAATCTCTTTTTTCCTTTTTTAAATTAAAATTGTTTTTTGTTTTTTTTTTTTTAGTGAATAATGGGCATTGAGGAGGGCACTT